AGACTTTGATTGTCTTTTATTTCTTATTTTCAGAACGATTACACGTAGTCGCATTCTATGCCTATTTATCTACAAATAGAGTTAATCCTAGCTTTCGTCATACACTGATATACGATGTCGCAAAGACTAATTCTGGAAATGGTTACAATACAGTGACGGGAATCTTTACCGCACCCACAGCTGGTATGTATGTTTTCACATGGGTTACTCGGATGTACGAAGCTGGACATTCTACCGAACTTATGGTTAATAATGCTGTCTTTGGGGCCAGCTATCTTCGAATATTTCATGATCATGATGTTTCCGTGAGTGGAACCGTTGTTACAAAAATCAACAAAGGGGATTCTGTCTTCGTGCGCGTTCATTCGTCAAGAGTTGGTGTTGGTGATATTCTCAGTGAACAATATGGCCGTTCATCATTTGCAGGCTGGCTCCTACACTAAATCAACAATTTAAAACACAGTTCACAACTTCTTTCCTTCAACAACAGTCCTCAAACATATAACACAGACATATGTATAAAACAATGGTTTGGCATCTAAAAGGTTGCGAGAAAACAATTCTGATCCCCAACCTTGTTGAAAACAATTTCATGTCTAATTACAACATTGAACAAAAATATCTCAATATATATTCAGAATCATTATATTTTGATCTCACTCCACATTGGTCCTGGGATAATACCCATGGTCTGATATTGGTCAGTGGGAAACTCCATAGTACTTTTTTTTATTAGATACTTTTTATGGATGTTGTTGTCTCGTTATAATGTTCTCATTTAGCAAGAGGTTGTTCAAAGGTAAAATTATTTCATTAAGGTAACTTTTAGTAATAATTTGGTATTTGTTTAAACTCATGTAGACAATAACATAACATTTCAAAATAATAGTCAAAGAACTACTATAATTTGAGAAATTCAACAGAATGTTTTCCGCCTTTATGGATAAGCTTTAGAGAAAGGTATCGTTGATGAGTTTATCAAACTTTTTTTTAAAAGAATGGTTAATATCATGAATCTAAATAATTATACCCTTGATCCGAAGGAGGATGTTTACTGTTTTACCCTTGTTCATACATCCGTCCGTCGTTTATTTCTTAGAAAATCCGAATCAAGCTTCCTTAAATCTGGAATCAAGCTTGACGTGACCATGCTATACTTTGTGGTCCGTTTCCATATTCACCTGTTTATCGAATTCTTAAATATTCCTACTCATAATAATCATATATAAAACTATGGATCAGTGCATTCAGATATTTGGTATACGGATTTATGTGAGCTTGCTATATACCTAATGATGCATTTTCACTTCCATTCAACTTTTTGTTTATCGAATACTTAAAGCGGGGTAACATTTGGGAGCAAGAACTCAGAGTTCAACTTGCACATGTTTCTTTAACAATATATATTTTTTCAAAAATACAAGACGTACGGTTTCAGCTAACCCAGTTTACACACTCTTTCGTCATTGACGTATCATGAATCCTGGCGCTGTGCTTTAGGTTATATTCATTATACATAATATTATTCGTGTCAATGACCAGTGAAGCCTTTTCAAACTGATTTTAACAGTTCGTTCTTATACGGTGGAGTTACACGGTTGTCACATATTAGCTGTCGTTGTTTACATATCATATTTGTTGTTTGTTTGTTGTTTTTTGCGTAAATCGTGCCGTTGGTTTTTTATTTTCGATTGGATTGTTTTTTTTATTTTGTAATGTCGGATATAGGTCTTGCTCGTCGTTGAAGATCGTGCGGTGACTCATAGTTGCTAATATCTATGTACATGTAATTTGAACTCTGGTTGATAGTTGTATTATAAGGAGAATTGCTGTTTCAATGTGGAAGGTGTAAAAGTCGTATCACTTTACTTTTGTTCTATGCATCCGCATGGGTCGCGATATGGGGTCCTTAATTTATGTATTCCTTAAATTTTAAGATCATTTTTCTTAAAATTTAAAAATAAAGCGTTTTCTGTAAAGTTCTCGTGATTGTACCATTAACTGTTCATTAAATTTGGTGATTCCTTTATTCTGTACATTGTACATTCAAGTAATCAGTATTGTATTACCTTTTTTTTCCATAATTGTTGTTTATACTTTTGCACCTCATTTTTCTCTATTTTTTCTATTTTTTGCTCATTTTTCTCTATTCATTATTTTTATTTGGCCATTTGTCTCTATACTGTAACCCAAATACCTCTCCCCCCCCCACCCCCCACCCCCCCCCCCCCCCCCCCCCCCCCGAAATTCTTTGATGACACATCGAATAAAGCTGCTAAAGTCGATTTTCAGTCAAAGTCAAAAGTCACATTAGCATAATCATTCATTGACAAAAAAAAAGGTGGAAAAAAGTTCTAAATTGAAGTTAAATGATTCAAACGAGATATAAACAGAAAAAGCTCGGTCGATCACAGATGAAAATGATTTAATAAACTATGTAAACCTTTGATGAAAAAAAAGAGTGCATCTTAGAAATCAATCAATGCTCCTTAGAGTTGGAAGCGAAAAAATCAAAGAAGTTATAGTAGTACTACCCAGAAAGAAGCTTAGAGGGCACGGACAGTTAAGCATGCAAAATTGTTCTTTTTAGAGGCACTAAATCAATTCAAAAAGAGTTAAAATTGTTGTCACATAACATTTTGCCGAATTTATTCTTCGTCTTTCATTTAGACTTATTTCTGTTTCCCAAAAAATTACTAGGTTATAATGTTCAACTGCAGAAATTTCCCATAGTAGGCAACAATATTGGTTATATGTCGATTTTGGTGTGTTCGATTGGTGACACTGTGTATGTGTGTTTTTTTGTTTTTTTGGGGGGGGGGGAAGGTTTTATCTTTCTTCTTATTTTAATCAGAAATTTAAACAAAGCATGTAATAGACTTTTTTAGCTTGCGTGATGATTTGAATAAACAGTAATGTATATTTTCATACAAAAATTGCCGAACTGACTAAAAGTGAATAAACTTAATCTCTTATAATCCATGTATTCATAAGTATGACAATAAACGTCTAAAGTATCTTACATACATAAACCACCCATATATCTTAATTAACATGAACCCGTTTTACAGTTGCTCCAGTTTTGTACAAATAAATGATTTATTTATTAAGAAATGCATATTTATACTCGAGGGGTTGAAGCCAAAAAATACAACAATATACAAAATGCACATATATGTTTAGTTACGGTTGAAAACTGATTTTAATTCTTCTATAGATTCATACTTATACCAAAGATATGATATTTAGTCTCTTAGTATCTGAGATTTTAAAGTGGACGTGAAAGTGTAAAGTTTAAGGTATACGAGTGACGTTTTCACAGTAGGAGGCTGTGATACTTTTTAACACAATCCTTGCACAATATTTTACTGTGTAACGTCCAGTGGTAAATTAAATGCAAATGTAGGAATAGCACATGTTCCTGTGACAGGAATATGAGCTATTAATGACAGAAACTTAAACTTGACCATTTAGCTTTATCGTTAATGAAAGTGCAAATAACTAAGTTTCTGTCATTAATAGCTCATATTCCTGACAGAAACTTAAACTTGACCATTTAGCTTTATCGTTAATGAAAGTGCAAATAACTAAGTTCATTTATCAGTAAAATACGGGAAAATTGTTTTTATACTTGTTTTTTGCTCCAGATTCATAAAGTTCCATGAAAATTTAATAAAACTTAATCTAGTAATAGCGAGGAGCGTTTCGTCCATGTCAAGCAAAGGACTATTTACTTGCGAGAAAACGGAATATTATTTGTTATCCGTTTTTTGTGACATAGGAATCGTCAATAGCAAATGCAAGTTTGTATAGAGATTCTACTAAAAACAACGAAATATAGGGAAAATGGTGACAGTAACTACAAATCATATGCTGCAGTGACAATTACTCAACTTAATACGGGCGATATTCTATCTGTGGAAGCTGATATCAATGACATGAATGTGTACAACACATACGATTCAGGATTCACCATTCTTCAGATATACTGATGAAATTGTTAAAGGTTTGTTGAACGTGCAGAGAACAAACAATCTTTTTTATTTCGTTTAGATTTAGGCACCAACCATTCATCAACTGGGGAAACATGAGGTGGTTTTCTTCTTTTCTTTTTGCAGACATTAATGAAAAACCCACCTTTTTAATAACATACACAAGAATTTGTTTTGAATACTCAATGTTGGATTTATTCCCCCCTCCCCTTCCCTTAATTTCAATGGCAACAAACATTTCCCTTTTCACTTTCATTTTGAAACGAAAATAACATATCTAAAACAACCTTGTCTCCCACAGAAGATGAATGCTTGGTGTATTGTAATCCCTAGAGCCATTTGTCGAAGAACAACGAATACTTTTTGAATGTGTATGAACATACAATCGTTTGAAATATTTCTCAAATCGCAAAGGAATGAGTGTGCAAAAGGTAAAGAGGTCAACGGTTGGAACCGTCTTCATTCTCTACTGTATACTATGAAATACTCGTTATATATTTTCCATGTGTTTTCTCTCTATCACTCTTTTTTAATGGTCAAAACTTTGATGAAGTAGTTGCCTCATTATCTTAATAGAAGCTACGTCACTGAAAAACCCTTAAAACTATTTAGTTTTGTTTCAAACTATACAAAGTTAGAGACTTCATGTTTTTTTCCAAATTATACCGAACGCACTGGTCGAACAATATAAGGCAGTTTTATCTTTATCAATGAGTCTAGTTCAACAAAAAGAAATATTGTTAGACAAATCCATAAACTTGTCTATTGAAAATCAATACCGCAAAAAAAAAAAAGGTTTGTGTCATTTCAATTTCTAATAAATTCCTGCAGATATAATAATATTTTCTCAAAGTAAATCTGAATGTTTTTATGATATTTGTTCTAAAATGTATTGAAACTTTTGTACATTTTATGATTTCTTTTACTTTGTTGTAAGCGTTTTTTTAATAACGGATGTCAAGTTGGTTCAATATTCAACATTCAACATTCAACATTCAATTTTTTTTATTTTTTTTCAGCATTCATTTTCAACATTCAACATTCAAAATTTTTTTTATAAAGCTTTTTTTTTCAATTTTCATTTTTTTTTTTCAAACATTCGTTTTCAACATTCAACATTCGATTTTCGATTCTCTAATAAAACAAATTTGACATATTGCTCAGATCAAACTTAATTAAACACAATATATTTCCTGATGTAGATCTATAAATAGATCCTTGGAACCTGGTCAAACAAATTGACACAACAGATGTAATGGATAAAAGTCCTTCAGAAACAAACAAAAAACATTTGGCAGTTTGTTATTTTGAACTAACAAATGCTTCAAATTTAGAGCTACAATTGAATGGGAGAGACTCATATAAGAAAAGTTTAGAAAAATGACATGTCATGTTATATAAAGAAAGGTTTATTAAAATCAAGCTTAACCCAATCACAAGAAGGTTATAGGTTACTAGTAAGTAAACATTTTGAATGTTATTAATCTACAAGAAAATGATAAAAAAAAATAAACTATACTTTTAAATCTTTATCACAATCTGAAGTAAAACAATCTGAATTCTTATACAAAAAAGGTCATTAGAACTAAGGATAAGTATTTAATGAATTATTTCACTGTATGCCGTAATTTTACTGTTTGTGTTATATTTGTTAATTTTTTTTTTCACATGTTTTTTTTTATTTTAATAACCAATGATATTTGAATTTTATATTCTGGGATTTCTCAAGGTGCCTTCTTTGAGGTCTGCACCTACGATAAAATCGCCAAGTTTTCATTCTGTACCCCGCTCTCAAGAATAGAAGATCTTGATGTGTTTAATAATCATTTAGATGGAGCAGGACTGAACATCGGTTTACATTCATAAATTAAATTTAGATACGGGGTTGGATACAAATTTAGTAGACAAGTGTTAGAAACCTTCTGGTGAAATATAGGTTCATATGAATATAGCGTTTCTAAATGCTAAGACATTTATTTTGGTCAAACATTTCTCAAAAGAAAAAAATGCAGAGTCAATATAACACACTATTACAGTAACTGAGTGCTTACTAATCAGACCACGTCTATGTGCTGCTGTAAGTGCCTATACATAGGTCACACAGCTTTCGTATATGAATTTATGGATTGAAGCAGGTTCAACAAAGGTTCAATTCATACAGAGCTTCCGTTTATTGATAAATTTATATGATTATTTTGTAATTGAAAAAAGGAATAGTGTATCAATTCTTGACACAAAATCATTACGTGTACATGATGACATCAAAGCACGGCACCTTTCGATTTTCTTCAACCCAAAGTCAGCATGATGCATTAAACATGGAGCAAACTTTTACCCCACGGAAAGTTAAAAAAAGTTAAAGATGTACCCGTAAATAATATACATATTTTGATCGGTCTTTAAATTTTATAGGCTTCAGATAGTTGTTGAAAAAGTATTTTGCTATCCCCAACTTATTATTTAATATTGATATTTAATAATCGTTGACGAAGAGCGAAATCTTGATTGTAGGCACAAGGTATTAGTCTTCAAAACTGCAGGAGGAATTGTCTATATGAGCTTATATCATCATTATTGATTTTATAGTGTGGGTGCACCAACGGGAACAGAGAGAAAAAAATATTTACATCATCTAAATAATTCTATAGGCATTCAAAAGCTTATTCAATGCACTACTCTTTTGTACACTTACAACACATTTTAATTGGGTCAGTGTACGTGTGCGTTTTTTTTTTTATTGATGATATGTGACGTTTAAGACATAAATGAGCAGGTCTTGCAGTTTCCTTAATTTCTGTTTGTTAAGAAAACTTAGACACGATTTTAGTTTAAGGACTGGTCCTTTTAAAACAATTTGGCTAGTAATATAGGGTGGATATTAGATTTTAGAACATGAAATACTGATATATATTTATACGGACACTGATCGAGGACATTTCTTGTTTCTTGTTTGATTTGAAAAGGCAAAATAGTTGACCAGAGAATAATTAAGACAACACAGGCAATCCACCAATGAAATGATACAGTTCGTATTTATATTCGATCAAAAAAAAAAAAAAAAAAATAAAACAAGAAGTTTTTACATCGATATTTAAAAATAAGCCGATATTGAAAACAGATCCGCACATGAAATGTAACATGATCAAAAGCAAAAGTTAAAAAAAAAAGGAAAAAGAATAAAAAACCTAAAAAAGTTGTTAACTAAGCTAGATATGAAGAAATAACTATCAAGGAGCCAATAGAAAAGAAATGTGGAAGGCTTATTGTGGAACTTGTGAACATATTCAGGAAAAGAAGACTTTTGTATTCAAAAACAATATGATTTTTGACATAAATTGCAATATGGATTTATTCTGCAAAGCTGTTTAAAATTGTTTTCAATTTAATGTGTTTTTAATTACAAAACACATATGCAGAAGTGTGTTGTATAACCACGTCTTTTTTTTAAGGCAAAACATTAAATACGATAATTTGAATTTATTTTTAATATTAAGATGCAGAGAGTGGTCCTCGCCACAATATGTTGTGCCTTGACACGTCGCAGAAAAAAAAAACACTTGACCAAACAACGAAAGTAGAAAGGCTGAAACATTGAGGTTTAATCAATTTCCCTTCAAATTTGTTTACACCTGAGCCATTTTTATGACGTCTTTACATAATGTATGTAGTTGAAGATTTAATATTGATGTCTAGATGTCTATAAATATTATAGTCGTTGGGATGCTGCCTCAATATCGTATACCCAACATCTCTCTTCATTCATACATGTACCAGATCATAAACGCTTATGGTTGTCCAAATAGCTTTAGATTTCGGCTTTTAATGTGTATTAACCCACAGACTAATTGGAATTTAATTTTTATCCAAAACGCAGATTATATTGTTTGCAGGTAATTATTTTTAAAAATCATCCATTTCGCATATGAATGTCCCTGTATCGACTGCACAAGTTTCATGCATAGGCGTGGGAAATTGTCCGTGTCGAACTTTATGACTTTTTAAAGTGTTATCTAAAAATAAAAATTTGAGTAAAGTTGACGTTTCCTGAGAAAGGAGACCCTCTTAAATATCTCAAAATATTACTTATCTGATATTCGTAAAATTAAGGATCGTCTAAGTTATATTAACATTAAGAACGAACAAATCTTTACATTTTCTTTTACAGATTTTTAGGTATGATTTATGAATTCTATAGAATTTCTCATTATTTTTCAGAATTAAGTACATGAACGATTTTCACTATCTTTCAAAATGTTAGGACATAAATATTTATCGATTTTGGATTTTATTTTCATGATTCATTCATGCAAGTGTCAGGATTTAGATAAGTATATTGCACCAATACTGGACAACAGAGGGGCGCCACTAGTTGCAATAGTAGATACAACTAACATCAGTTCACATATTGTCCGGTCAATAGAAATGCCATTACGTGAGATAATCAACACCACGATAGAATGCAAAATAAACGAAGAGTTAGAAACAGTGAAACAGGACATTGCTACATTACGGATAAACACGGAAGAGACATTTTCAGATGAAATATACGAAAGGAAGAATTTCACTAAGATTGTCCATACTGTGAAAGCAGATCTTGATGAAAAGGTGAAGAATTTCACAAAATATGTGGACGTCATGAAGTCAGAATTACAACAGAAGATTGACGAACATATTGGTGATAACAGGGACCAATTTAAGGAAGTTAAACAGAACATTGCGACACTACAGAAAAACACGATAGAGACAATTTCACATGAAATCCTTGGACAAAGGAGGAATATGACAAAGACTATCGATAATGTGAACAAACATCTTGTTGAAAAGATGAAGAACTTCACTAGCAATGTAGTTGTCATGCAGTCAGGCGTACAAAAGAAGATTGACGAACATATTGGAGATAACCAGAATAAATTCACTGAAGTTAAACAGGACATTGTGACACTACGGAAAGAAATCGAGGAGAAAATTAATAATGAAATCCTTCAAAAAATGAAGAATTTTACTACAATCGTCAATACTGTGAACAAAGTGAATGAAAAAGTGAAGATTTAAACAACAATGTGGATATCATGCAATCAGAATTAAGGGAAACCATACTGTCTGTGAATAACAATGCATCAAATTTATCAGACCAACTGGAAACCCATTTCAATAGATTGGATGCGCTCCGTTCAAATATACAAAAGTTAACTGTAAACACCAACGCAATTCAGAGTGGTATGAATGAAGTAAGATCACCTGCTAACGTCAATTATGGAAGGTTAGGAGGTCATGAATCAAGACTAGACGATTTGAATACTAAGGTCAATGCTATTAATTCAAGAGGTTAGTTTACAGGCAATACTAAATTGGACCGTTTTTTACGATTCATATCAAATCTTTTTCTACAGAAACGGTGTTTGAAATATCACAGGGCAAAGTAATTTTATTGACCATTGTTTCGTTTCATGTTCAAATATCAGATGTGAAATTTCATAACAATTTATCTCTGGTAAATTTCATTGAAACCTGATTTTTTGCATAATTTGTAACAGTTTTCTGAAAAAAATTTAACAGTGGCCCTAGCCCTCGCCCACCAATGTTTTTGCTGAAATATTCTTAAAATACCATATTCTCTCATCTTGCAACAAAAATGTCAATGGGCGAGGGGTAGCTCCACATATGAAATCATGAAAATAGATGAAAAAAAAAAATCAATTCTTATATCTGGCTAATACATTTATAAATATGAAGCAGATATCGAAAGTTGGTAGGGCTAAGTATAAATGTATAAATAATAGTTGTCTTTACCTTAATATTTGTAAGTTGCATGTAAAACAAATATCACTATTTAACAATATTATCGCATTTCAGCTTTTCTGTCAGCATGGGTTCCTGATGTAAAAACAATGTCAACTAATGAGATCATACCATTTACGACTATAAATGCACAACATGGCATTAGTAGAGTTTCGTCCATGACAAGCAGAGGAGAATTTACTTGCGAAAAAGCGGGATACTACCTCGTGTCTTTTTTTGTGACGTCGAAATCATTAAAAGCAGAAGCAAAACTGTTAAGAAATTCTGTTAAAATCGCTAGAACTATGAAAAGTGGTGATAGTAACTACGAATCACATGCTGCAACGACAATTACTCAACTTAATACGGGCGATGTTCTATCTGTGAAAGCTGATATTAATGACATGAATGTGTACAACACATTCGATTCAGGATTCACCATTCTTCAGATATACTGATGAAAGAAATATCATCATTTTTCAGAATACACACAACTACTTCTTTTTTTATTCTATTTTGTTTACCATTCATCAATGGGCGAGGAAAAGGGATTTACAAATAAACATTTATTTAAATAACATTCCCGAAGAAGAATTTGCTTTGGAAATTCCATGGAAACAAACGTTTTTACCCTTCCGTTTTGAAACCATTTTTGTTTCAGAAATGTTTAATCAAATAGCATATCTAAAAGAAAATTATGCTCCCACAGAAGAGGACTGGTCGGTTCTAAATAATTCCCAGAGCCATTTGTCGAAGAACTACGAATACTTTTTGAATTTGTATGAAAATACAATCATGTGAAATACTACTCAAATTCATGAATATCTGTAATTCACTAAGATTTTTTTCAAGATATAATACAAAGAATTGTATCCAAATCAATCTCTTTTTCATTAATTTTTAAACACTTTGGATACATTGCGTATTAAAAAATGTCCAGACGTTATAGAACACAAACAGTTTTGGGGTGTTAGAAAATGCATTTTTAATTGTGTATCTACGTAAAATGTTAATAATTCATATCGATGCTATTTTTGAAAGGCTTTTAATGAGTTTTGTTAACAAAATGATAATTTATGGATTTTACACACTTTTTGAAGGTATCCTCATGTTTTGTTCCAGATTGATACCACTTCCAATCCCACAATCTCCAGCCATGTGTCTATCAAATATATATACGGATTGACAGTTTAGACTGAGAGCACATGGTTTGTTTATTAATTGTAGTGGAGCTTTTGGTGGCCACGACGTCGTCAATTATTTGTGAAAAGCTTTATATTCCGCAAGGAAGAAGACCTAGATGCTTCATACCTTGTATGTAGATGCCTTATGTTACGAAGTGTCCGTCTGTCATATTTCCATTATCCTTGACCTAATTTTCAAGGTTCAGCGACTGTTTGAAAAGAATGTGTAGTTTATTTTTGTAATGCGTAATACTCACTTATTATGAGCAATAGGATTACTATATTAGGTATATGGAATCCTTGCAATGTCAGACAGAGTTCACCTGACCTCGACCTCATTTCATAGATCAGTGATAACGATTACGTTTTCGTGGTCATGTCCGTGTCTCAGATACTATATATACTTATCTATATTTGGTGTATGGAATGATTGTGAGGTGTACAAGTCCGACTGGCAGGTTTCGTCTGAATTTGACCTTCAACTTTTTTCATGGTTCATTGGACAATGTTTAGTACATGACCAAACGTACAATGCCCGAATAAATCTGTACAGAATCTGAATGAATAGAACCCCTAAAAACATGTAGTTTTGTTTCAAACTATAACAAAATAGCGACTTAATGTTCTTCATCAATATACTAAACTCTATGATTGAACAACAGTAGTATTATCCATATCAATTTATCTAGTCGGTCAACACGGTCACAGTGTTTCTTTAAACAGAAAATGAATGAATCTTTTCACCTAGATTTGGCAGTGTTTGAACTATTAAGTTATTTTTGTTTCGAGATTTCCTGTAGGTGTGGGTCAGCCTTAAATAAGATTGGCCCTCTATCCTTGAAGCAACGCTGTACGTTAAACGATAACGTTGATCAAACAAGGTCAAAAAGGAAACATTTTGAATATCTTTTAGTAGAATGTAGACGCTGTACACGAGACAGGGGGAGAACAAGAGGCTCTTTTCACAAAACAAGAGGCTCCCAAGAGCCTGAATCGCTCACCTGTATTTTTTTGCTTAAATATTTCATCAATAATTATTTTTGCTTTTTAATATATATTAATGAGTGGCTTAAAAATGCAATTTAAATGTTCTTTGTATCTGTCATATTTTCTTCAAAAGCCAAAAACATGCATTTTACCCATATGTTCCATTATAGCCATATTTTGGCTTTGTTTCTTGACGTACAAGGACATAAAATACAAAAGTTATACTAGATACACTGAAACTCATTAAGCCCAAGTTTGCCTGAAATTGTTTCAGCAGTTTCAAAGGAGAAGATTTTTTTAAAGTAAGGCAAGCAAACTAAATAAACAAATTGTGGAAAATTGTCTTTAAAGGGCAATTTTTGGTCATAAAATTCTTTTTTGTAAATCTTACTTCGCTGAACATGTTTGCTGTTTACAGTTTATCTTTATCTTCAATAATATTCAAGATAATGACAAAAAACTGCAAAATTTCCTTAAAATTACCAATTTAGTGGCAGCAACCCAACAATGGGTTGTTCAGGTCGTCGGAAAATTTCAGGGCTGATAGATCTTGACCTATTGAACAGTTTTACCACTGTCAGATTTGCACTAAATGCTTTAGTTTTTGAGATATAAGCCAAAAACTGCATTTGACCCCTGTGTTGTATTTTAAGCCATGGCGGCCATGTTTGTTGATGGATCAAAACTTCGGATACAATCTATTAACTAGATACCTTAAGGAACATCAGTTGAAGTTTAGAAGTATTAGGCCCAGCAGTTTCAGGAGAAGATTTTTAAATGCAAGCAAACATGATGAACAAACTGTGAAAAATTGTCTTCAAAGAGCAATAACTCCTTAAGGGGTAAATTGACAATTTTGGTCATATTTACTTTTTTGTAGATCTTACTTTGCTGAACATTATTACTGTTACAGTTTATCTCTATCTATAATAATATTCAAGATAATAACCAAACACTGCAAAATTTTCTTAAAATTACCAATCTAGTGGCAGCAACCCAAAAATGGGTTGTTCGGTTCATCTGAAAATATTACAGCTGATAGATCTTGAGCTATTGAACAAATTTACCCCAAGTCAGATTTGCTCTAATTGCTTCAGTTTTTGAGATATAAGCCAAAAACTGCATTTGACCATGGCGGCCATGTTTGTCGATGGATCAAAACTTCGGATACAATTTATAAACTAAATACCCTAAGGAACATTCAGTTAAAGTTTGAAGTTATTTGGCCCAATTGTTTCAGAGGAGAAGATTCTTGAAGACGACGGACGACGACGGACGCCAAGTGATGGCATAAGCTCACATGGGGCCCTTCGGGCCCGGTGAGCTAAAAAGGTCATACAACATTTCAATATAACACGATCAATTTTAATCGTATGATTTTTTGTTAAAAGAGTCGCTGGCCCAACTTACGGTAAAGTTGATAAAAAAAGTTCAAGAAGGAAACATTTAGAATATATTTTAATGTAGACCACGTATATTCTAAATGTAATCGGTCAAGAAATTTTAAATAAAAGATGTGTTAGTGTTATTTGGCAATTGCTAGAAAAGCTTTTAATCTCACACATCTCTTATCAAGTTGAAATGATGCCGGCATTCCAAAGCATTAGTTTAAGTATTCCCTGGTGCTATAATATTTTTTTATGAATACGAGATGATGGGCATTAATCTATAAAAATAGACAGCAACCAAACATGGCAAAACAAAATCTAGAGGTAAATATACAATACACTATTTTCTATACCATATATCATTCTCTAAATCGCCTCGCGTCCAGAAATGTGTTTTGATAAGTTTATAAATGTATCAAAATTCTGTCTGAACACAAAATTCATATGAAGTACTAAAAATAATATATGGGTAAATACAACCATTAAAAAGGTTCTTGACTTGGTAGTGGCCCTTTCGAAATTTGATCTTAATGGGGATCTACAACAATTAAGGCAAACATTAGTCCCCGAGTGTATCATTCGCTCTTGAAGATTGCTGTTCTTTATCTTGAGCATATCCGTATGTTGCAAGGGAGAGAACCTGCCTATGCTGCTTTATGGACATGATTTTAATTTCGAAAAATTTAGAAGTTATGTTAAGAAGCAAAGTAATAACTCCATCAGACAAAATTGATTTTAATATGGTTTTTGCAGTTCTGTGTATGTCTCGTTTGGTCATGAATCTCCTCATATACATCATTAGATTTGAGTGTTCCGGATGATGGTTAATTTGAGAAAGCGTTTCCACAGGTACTTGTCTGAAAAATTACCTTTTACATGTACTTTATCAAAGTACGTGTACTTTATCAAAGTACATGTATATAGATATTTTGTTTTTTAGAGTATATAGGTAAATTTGTTTTATGAGACAAGTGCCTGTGAGCGTTTC